CTGGAATCCTACCTACTTCTTAGAGTCTAGCTTTGCCGATTTAATAAGGCATATCATGATTTAATTGGCTACACTTTGCATAGCAAAGTTAAGTTTCAATGAATCTCTTGAATTCTAATTGCTGAGCCCAATTCCATTTCGATTGAAAGTTTATAGTGAAGTGATTCGAGGGTCAGTCCCACGAGAAGAAGACGGTGGATTCTTCTTGGTCATCCATCGATTGGCTTTATTGGAACATACTTGTTGGCGTTGCTTCCGAGGCAATCTTCTTCGATTCCGGTGAAAATATGTAAAATTTTTGTTCGTCATATGGCGGATATCATCTTTCCGAAATGCTTTATGTACAGCCTATATCTATGCTTTTTGATTAGGTATAAAATGTTTTGGTTGGTTCAGGTAATATGTAAACCTATAAGTATGAGCTTGTGTGTGTTTATTTGCCCCCATGAGCTCGTATATGTACCAAACCAATAGTGATAGCCCAAAGTAATTAGAACAGAATGCAATGTCTGTTCACGTGAGTTGTGTGAATGCAGTGCTTATGAGTCGAGTAATATGTACGAGTTAAAATCAGATTCGAGGCTAATTGAGTCTCCTCTTGCTCGGCGGTACTTTTGCTTCTCCCTCTCCTTTTCTCCCCCATATCCTCTCAATCAGCTACAGATAGTTTCCGTTTAATGTTAAATGCATTAAGTAGGCTTATGCTATATGAATATAGTTTTTCTTCAATGATAGTACTCAAAAGATAGAGGATCATTGCTTCAGATGAGACTTACTTTCAAGTTGTATCCAAAATAGTCCAAGCTGTTTAAGGTAATTTAAGTGTTGGTTGTTGAATCTTCCCAAAATTAGATTAATAGGCCTCACGAGGCCATTGCGTTTTATTTAGCCTTATCTTCAAATAGGCTATCTCATCCAGAGTGGACGGCAGATTTTACCTCGTTTCACTGTCTATATTAATAACCCCAAAGAGATTTGATATCGCACCTTGAGTACATTAACACTCTACTACATAACCACAAATGCCAGAGTCATAGGGCGACTTTAATAATAAATACAAGTCAGGCTCACCGAAATCGCATTTTATAGTTGGATTGCCGATTAAGCAAAAATTTTGTTGTCATCTCAATTGATGATGTTGCTTGTTTTCAATGTAGAACTTATCAACCTAGTTTAACTGAGTTCTTATTCATTAATTGCTGATAACTTCGAAAATAAGACTATATTAAGGCGTTCTACACAGGAAGAGGATTGAAGCCCAAGGGGTTAGGAGCCAAAAAAAATGCAATTTCAAACAGGTAATAAGTATTTCGAAAATTATGTGCAATTTTGCGAAAACGGCAGCAAAATACCGAACAGGTTCATCGTTATCACCACTAGCAACACGCCTACTCTCGCAGTGCAGGACAGCCTAATTTCAACCATCATTCCTTACATCACTTAGGCTGACCAAGCTCTTACTCAAAAATTACTGATAGTTACAATAAGTACTTGTACCGAAAAAAGGCTAGCCAAAGCCGCCAAACATACTGTAGCCCGAGTTTTAAGCAAGGGGTGTCTTCACATTTTATCGTTTATAAGTAGGTTTTCAAGATTACGGGTAGACCATATATATGAAGTGCATTCACCCCATTTTTTGGGGGGGATAAATGGACTGGTAATTAGATTTTCTCACAATGTGAGTAGGCCTTTCGTTTCCATTGAATTTCACGTAAATTTGTCTTGCCACAAAGTATTCTCATCTCTTTAGGAAATCAAGTTTATGCGAAATTCTACTTGCATTATTGTGAGAAAATCTAACTACCAGTCACTTTATTATCTTAAAAGAAATGGGGTGAATACACTTCATATATATATAATCTTTTGATAGTCTCGAAAACCTACGCAATCACGAAAAATAATGTATTTTGTACTGGTTCATCACGGGTTTCACACTGGCCTCTCGTCATGGGCTAGTTTGATCGTAAATTAGAGAAGGAATTGCAATAAAATTATTTTTTTCTCGATAGATATTGTCATTTGAGGTCTATTTCCGTCATCGTCCGAGCATGCCATTGTGGCAAAATTCAACTACCCTTCTTCTTATCACCTCAAGCGAAATAAAGTGAAAACATTACTTGATCCCTTGTAAAGTGTTCACGAGCTTCTTTCCTATTCCTTTACTTCTTCTTCTTCTTTTTCCTTTTTATGCAGGCGACGTTAATCAGTTCAGCAATCGCCTACTTCTTTCGCAAACAGCCACCGGCTATTCCACCCTCCAAACGCATCCGCTGTCTCCTGTCCAGCACTGTTGCCACGATCTGACTAGTTTGTGCCTTCCCCACTTAGCATCGCCACCCCCCTCACCATCATTTTCCTTATCAAAACCGCCACCGTCGCCAGGGTCAGTGTCGCCCCTACTACTGACCACGACAGAGACATCCTATTTAAGCTCGTCCCAACAAATTAGAGCTCCTCCTGTCCATGTCCAATCTGACAAGATTTGGATTGCTGCAGCTGAGCCAGAGCCTCGTGGCTGCGTGACATATCAGGTCGGAGCTTGTTGTGAAACGCGACATCAGGCAACCCTCAAGTCGGATACGGGTATTCGTTATGCTCTGGAAAGTGGGAAATGTTGTACCGGTTGCGGCCGGAACAGTAAAGTTGGTGTTGCGACCGAAGATGGGAGTGTTGAGGGCATTGATACTGCTGCTGATTCTTCGATTCTGTTGTTAAAAGGGTCACCCGTTGACGAAATGACTGCAAATAGAATGCCAATACGTTGG